TTTTCCAGGTTGCGCAGCATCGCCCTTGTGTAGGGATGAGGAAGGCATACGGACGCGGAGTTTGCCAGTGCCAGCGTGGCCCCATCCCGTCTCTTGGCTGTGCCCGGTCATGCCCACCAAGGCTTGCAGAGAGCCGGCTCTGGGAGAAGCTGAGCAACCCTGGGGTGGTCTGGGCTGCACACACTTGGAGATGCTGGCTGGAGCCCGCATGCTGAGGGCTCTGCCACAACACCAACAACAGGGTTACATCCATTTACAAAGCTCAGTAGCCAGCTCCTTTGGCTTCTCCGGGATGTGCCCTGGGGCTGGGGACACCATCATCCTCTCCCACCCCTGGAACCATGCACCAGGTCTCCCACCCCTGCCATGGGGAGAGCAGGGACCTGCTTGTGGCCCAGATGAGACACAGGGCACCTCAGCCACGTTGCAGACCCTCTTCCCGACCCCCTCTGAAACCCCCAGCTCCCCCTGTCCCCTCTCCCAAGGATGGCTATTTTCACTGTCGCTGCTGCCCACTTCTCAGGGCCACATTCCCTGGGGCTGTGGAGAGAAGTCCTGCACCATCCCGCTGCTTTTCTTTGCAGTTCGAGTTTCTGTAGGAGGCGACTGGGTATCACGGTCCTCAACCAGGAGTGAGACGCTTGGTTTGTCTGTCTTTCTGTCCCGCCAATTGCTGGCTGAAGGCAGAAAGGGCACAAAGGGCACAAAGCGGCAAGCGTAGCCAAAGCCTAGGGAAGAATTCCCCTCCCCCACGTCCCTGGGTGAGGAAGTACGATGGCGTTCTCAAGGGAAAGGAAGGAGCTTGCCCCACACGTGCTAGCGCGCAACCCTGACTGCCTCGGAGGGGGCTGGCTGGGCCAGTGGGGCGTCCCATGAGCATGCCCAAGCCAGCCTGGTCCCAAATGGCTGCTCTTCATTTCTTGGGAAATAAACGGTTTATAAGCCAATGGAAAGCATCCAGCGTTAAGGCTGTCTGCATACAGACAAGCCCTGATGTCCTGGAGATGGTCAGCCCGGGGGAGAAGAGGCACCCAGTCTTAGAACACACAGTGATGCCACTTGGCCAGCTACTCAAAAACAGGGAGCTGGGGAGGGTTCCTGGTGACCACATCTCTTCTTGCCTCCGGCTTTCCAACTGGCTTCCCGAGCTAGTCTCCAGGCCCAGGGTGACTGGAAGGAGCTGCAGCTCAGGGATGCCTTGGACCTCTGTCAGCATTAGATGAAGGGCATCGGCTGCAATCACCGCACAGTCTGCACTGATGTGAGTGGGGAGCAGAGGACTCCCCCCAGCAAAGGAGGCAAAGGGAAGGGCTTCTGTAACGTGGCTGAAGTGGTCCCTGAGTGCTAGTTTATCTGGCTGTGCCGATGTTCCTGTACTGGCACATGAGAAGGTGCTTGAAGGTTTTCTTGAACGTGGCGTTGCAGAGGGCGTAGCAGGCTGGGTTGATAGTGCTGTTGACATAGCAGAGCCAGTAGCCGATGGACCACACAGTTTCAGGTACGCAGGTCTCACAGAAGGTGTTGATGAGCACCATCACGTTGTATGGAGTCCATGTGAGTATGAAGGCTAGCAGGATAGCAAATATGGTCCGGGTGACTTTCTTCTCCCGGGCTGCCATCTGGCGTTTCTTCCGTACTTGGCTCCTGGCGATGCTGGCAAACTTTCTAGCAACATTGGCTGGGCGGCTGTTGGACAGGGAGTTGTGCTCAGAGGCTCCTGCCTTAGCTGGGACGATCTCGATGGCGGTGACACATTCGGTCCCAGTCTGCTTGGTGACGATTTTAATCTTGGACCACTTGGAAGACGGGTTCACCCGGGGGTGGGATGGGCTCTGTCCTTGCCCCGCTGGCAAGATTTCTGCCGTGGGCTTGTCTTTTGTGGTCTGGGTCATGCTGACTGTGCTGGACTCATTGGAAGTCTCCTTCTCCTCCTGATGACCAGTGGCCTCTGTCTGCGCTGAGGGCTGATCATCCACTTTCCCATTCCTCACCTCCTCCTTCACCTCCATGGCCTTCTTGGGGGAGTTGTTGTTGTTCTGTTTGATCAGGGGTCCCTTGAAAAAGCTCAGGGACTTGCCTTTCCTCTCTTTCCTGCTCTCAGGCTTGTGCCTCCTCACCCTGCTCCTGCTGGCCAGGGAGATATGGATGTAAAGCACCGTCATGATGACCACGGGCAGGTAGAAAGCAGCGATGGCCGTGCCGAATGTCACCGCCGGGTTGGAGAGGAATTGGATGTAGCATTCCCTCTCAGGGACTGTCCTCTTGCCCACAATGAACTGCCAGAACAAGATGGCAGGGGCCCAGAGAATGAAGGACAATATCCACGCAGCTGCGATCATTAGCCCCGCCATCTTGGTGGTCCTCCTGGCTGGGTACGTCAGGGGCTTGGTGACACAGAAGTACCGGTCAAAGCTGATGATGAGTAAGTTCATGACGGAGGCGTTGCTCACCACATAGTCCAGGGCCAGCCACAGGTCGCACACCACGGCCCCCAGCGGCCAGTAGCCTTTGATGATGTAGACCGTGTAGAGGTTCATGGAGAAGACCCCGATGATGAGGTCCGCACAGGCCAGGCTGAAGAGGAAGTAGTTGTTGACAGTCTGGAGCTGGCGGTTCACCTTGATGGACAGCATCACCAGGATGTTCCCCACCACGGTGACGAGGCTGAGCGAGCCGGTGACCGTGGCGATGAAAACCAGCTCCACCGTCTTGTAGTTGGTGGGAGGCTGGATGGCCACCTCGGAGCGGTTGCCCAGGGTGAAGTTGTCATAGGTCAGGTTAGCCATCTTCACCTGCCAGGGCTGAGCGGAGAGGTTGTGCATGGGGTCTGCAAGGAGAGTGGAGACAGAAAGGGACAATATTATACCTGCCGGCCTGCTCTGGCAGCATCTGCTGCCTCCTCAGTTTCCCAGACCAGCACTGCTTTTGGCTAGCGCTCGAAAATCTCCCAGCATCTTCTCTCTGCCATTGCAGCCTTCCCTCAGGAGCTCTTTGAGGGCACTTTTTGTGTCCCCATTCAGAAAAAGAGCAAGGGTGGGGCTGGGGACAGCCCTTTGGTGAGGGTGCGATGGTCCCTTCTCTGGAGGGCCGAGAACCATCTCCCAGTAGGAGCACAGCCCCGGTGTGCCCCAGGGAGGCACACAGAGAGGATGAGGGTCTGCAGGAGGAAGGGGGCTGCAGACCCAAGCAGTGATGGATAATGCTGGCTGCAAAGACAGCATGGCATGGAGCCGGTGCCCTGCCCCAGGGACAACAGCAGGTTTATGGCATGCTCCAGGCATGTCCCACTGGCCTCCCCAAAGCACCTGCCCAAGAGGGGGCTACCCCACAAAGTCCATGCCATGGTCCGCTCAGCTCACCTGTGTCTCTGGCAGCAAACAGCTCCTTCTGGAAGATGAAATCTGGGACAGGGAAAACAGCAAGTTACACTACAGCTTCAGCTCCAAGAAGGTTGTGCGAATCCCACGACGTCTTACTGGGGGACACCGACTTTTCCAGTAGAGGTGGCCTTGACAAAGGTGTGACACTGCTCAGAGGCAGATGCTGAAAACCCAAACAGGACTGAAACCGAGTCATTTGGCTTGGCCTGGTTTACACCCCAGCCTCAACAGGCACGGGAGAGGGAAGTGATCCCACGAGTGCCATCAGCCAGCGATGCCAGGAAACGCTGGCCCCTTTCCCCAGTCCCACATCACACCGCAGCTGCTGCCACACCGGCTGTGGAGACACATGGGGTGAACCCAGACATCTCAGCCTGGAATTATTTATGAAAGGCGGCGAGAATTACAGACAGAAAGATTGCCTGCATCCTAACTGAGATCCCTGTGGTTAACCCACCCCAAAAGAGGAGAATGGACCTTAAGAAAAAAATCAATGGACCAAAATCGATGCGTTGGGACAAAGCAGAGTTTCCTGGAATGGGAAGAAGCAAAGGTGCTGGGGAAAATAGGCTGGACAGGGGCACTTCCCACCCAACCTGCCTCTCCCACACCACCCAGACCGCCAAAGCCTGCTGGGTATCGCCCAGGATGCTGGGGGCATCCTGACCCCACCAGCCCAGCAAGGGCAGCCTCCCCAGCGGGGTGCAAGGTGCTGGCCCCTGGTGCAGAGGTCCTGCCAGGCTGCCTGCCCGGCCCCATGGGCACAGCTGCCGGTATCCCAGCTGAGGCCAGTACAGTCGGCCCGTGTCCATACCGGCACTCACAGGGGAAGCGTTTGGCACAGTCTCTGCAAGCTGCCTTGGTTAACAGCGCTGGGACTCCTGAAGGTGATTTTCCTCATTGTATAAACACGCTGTTAACGCGCTCCTCTCCTAAAGTTGGCAGGCTTTGGTATCGGTACAGATTTTTGAAGTCTTGTAAAAGAAACGTCCTTGCCTCTCATTTGTGGGGAGAGTAGGAGATTTCTACCATCAACAAACAGCCAAGGTTTCAATACAAGTGCTTTTTAAAGAGGTGCAGGTGCGAGAAAGTGGAAGTTTGGCTGCTGAGATGCTAAAGCTGGGGTACCAACGCAGCCATTAATGCAGCTTCTGCTTTAGCAAGGCTACAGCTGCGATAGAGGCTGGGGACATGGGGGAGGGCCAGAGAGTACCTCGTACCTCTGTGCTGTTATCCCCTGAGCCTGCCACACGTGGCCCGCAAAGACAAAGTGCGTTGAAAAGAAAGTAGACACTAAATGCTAAATACAGAGGGGGTGAGGAAGCCCAGCAACACTGCCCAGGTTTGCACCGAGCTCCGGGTGCAAAAGATATCATCAAGGGAGAAGAAAAGCTGTTTCTGCTGCCACCCTTCCTGGGCACCCAGCCAGGGCTGCGAGAAGAGGTGATAAGTGTGTAAAATGACTTAGAGAGACATAATCGTGGCAGTTTGGGGGTTGGTTTCAGTACAATTGAAATGAGTTTAAAATTCTTCACTTTGATGAGGTGGGGAGATTTAGCTGTCATTCTTGTAACAGCTAATCAAACCAATCAACCAGACATCTACCCCAGCTCTTCCAGGAAGAACTGGAAAATCTCGGAAAGAAACCTTTTCTTTGTCTCCGTTAAATGAAGGTTTCAGTTCTTCCCTCTAGTTTGTGAACCGGCATCCTCTTCTAAGTGCACTTAATTAACTACCAGCCTTGACAGAGGCTTGTTGCCCAAAGTAAGGGAAAATCCAGCTCGTCCTACTCCATAAAACCGTTTGTACAGGTCACAAGAAATGAAGGAGGGAGAGATGGACGCAGCCCCATTCGCGCGTCTCCGGATGCCACCCCGAGGTTGTGCTGGAAACTGGTGTGCTGAGGCAGGCAGCTGCAGCCACAGGGAAAAGGACCTGAATGGGTGTTTTGAAAATGTGCCTTCACCGAAGGGCAACAATAAAGCAATCTCCCGTTGGAGGGCAGGAGGGAGGCTGAAAATGGCTAAGGGTGCGAGACTACGGACATCAGAGACACGACAGCATGTACAAGCCAGAAGATACGCACACCACTCATCCTTGCCTCAAACACCCCGACTATTTTCTGCCATGCCCCAGCCTCTCAGGCATCTTTTCTTCCCCCATCCTCTGGTCTCTCTATACCACTGTCTCTCCCTTCTGCTCTGGACACCCTCTCTGAGCTCGCCCGGACAGCCTGGCACTGCCTTTGCCTCCCAGAACTGGGCAGGCAGCTCAGTCCAGGGCTAGGAGCAGGCCAAGAGTGTGATGAATTTGCCAGGTCTCAGCGCATCTGACCAACCCATGTGTCATGCCTGCACAGACACTGGGGAATAGATCCTGCCGTTTGCCTTTGAGCTGCTTTGCCATCCCCCCTTGGGATAAACTTGCCTTGCTCTGTCCTGGGGGGCTCCCCTTTATCAGTAGCATCTCCAGCCTGTTGATATGCCCACTTCCCATGGGGATGGAGGGCACCCATGCTGTATGGGGAGGGCCCAGGTGGGGGCACAGCCCTCGGGTAGCGCCGGCTCTGCCTGCACCCCCAGGATGTGCCAGAGGATGAAGCAAGTACACAGGAGAGCTGCCATGCTGCGACAGATTCAACAGTGCCACTCCATCCTCACTCTCACACCACCTGCATCACTGCCCTCAATGCTGTGAAGCCCCCAGACACCAAGGGACCTCTCCATACCCCACTAAACATCTCCTCTATGCCCCCCGGTGCCCATCTACCTCTTCCTGCACCTCCAAGTCTTCTCCCTCCCCTCACACCCTGCATCCCACATCACCCTCTCTGTCTCCATCTCCTTCTGCCCCCTGCCTTCATGCTGGCACCACAGCCAAGGAGGGGATGCAGCCTTGGCAAAGTCCAGAGGCCACTGCAGAAGGGCTCCGGGGGCTGAGGCCCCTGCCTGTGACACCAGTTGGCTTTTCTCCTTGCACATGCTGTTCCTTGCCTGCGGCACTCAGCGGGTGCTCTCCCAGACCTGCTCTCACCAGCCAGCTACAGCAAACTCCATCATTGGCCTCCTCCTCCCTAGGACTTCTGGCAGGATGGTAAATCCTAGGATTTACGGATGGTTTCTCTCCTCTCCATTGAAGCCATTAGGAGTCTCCAGCTCCTCACTGATAGCATTTTTTGGTCTAAGCATTTCTGTGGCCCCTGTGGCACTCCGCAAGCATGTCCTCAAAGCAGGGAAACACCTTTCCCTTCTCACCCACGTCTTGCATGCTATGGATGAAAGCATAAGCAGCTGCAGATCCAAGCAGAGAAGGTTGTAGTTTGGGTGGGGTCCACCTATTTTGGGCAGCGCTTGGCACAGTAGGGTCCCCATTGCTGCCTGAAATCATGGGCACCACCACTGTTCCCAGCCTGTCAGCCCCTGCAAAGTGCCTTGCAGCCCAGCGACAGGTAGGAAAGGAGAAAGCCCTGTCATGGACTCCTGACAGTCATCCCATACCTAAAAAGCCTGCCCCATACAGAGGCAGGTGCTCCATTGGCTGCAGCTAGTCACCAAGCGCTGAACCTGTCTGGGACAGAGGGTTTGGCTCACTCCTGCCCTCCCCATCACTCCCTGTGCCTCTCCACAGCCCCTGTCCCTCACACCACCACCACCAGCTGTCCCCCTCCCTGCTCCATCTCTGCCTCCGTCCCAGCCCCATCCTCATCCTTGGGGCCAGGCCAGTGTGGGCAGAGTCACGGCTGGTCCACATGCAGCTTCACGCGCAGTCTCCGGGAAGGAGCAGGGCTGTGCATGCACCCAGCACACTCAGCCAGCATCTCTGACAGAACCCAAGCCCCATGCTCACACACCAGCCAGAGGAAGACAATGTTCACAGGGAAAAGAGCGGAATTAGAGAAACCACTATTTTCTCAGAGGCTTCCAAATGTGAGCTGCTCCCAGAGGAGTCAGGCTTTTGGTCTGCATGGGTGCAATCAGCCCTTTGGAGGAACAGGAAAGCCGAGGAGACCCCAGGCCCAAGGGACTCCCACCCCAGCTGGGATGGGATGGCTGTCGCTGGCAGTTTCTGGCTGGGTGCACCATGATATGCTCCGGGCACTGCCTGACGCTGGGAGGGAGGGAAGCTGGCCCCCTCCACCACAGGGACATACTGGGGGAAGGCCCACGTCACACCCTGCTCTGGCTGGGTGCAGAGGGCTGGGACCAGGGCACATCAGCTCTGGCATCGCTGTTGGAAAGAGCTGGGGCAGCACTCCCAACCCACTGCCAGCCCCCTGCTTGTTCTGGCCTTCCTAAAAGCACCCAGAGGGTGAAAATCCTAATGGGATTAGTTCCCTCATGTCAAACCTGGGGCTGGGCAGTTAGCCCAGCCTCTCTCCTTGGGAGAAGAGGGAGGAAGGATGGAAGGTGCTGACAGGATACTAGTGTTTATGGCTGGTGCAT